ATATATACATAACCACCCCCCCTCCCCCCACACATACACACACACACCAGCCTCTGCCACTGGGATGCCAGCTTCAGCATACTTTCGCTTGGCTGCTTAGCAGATTGAAGTCTGGCGCGAGGTCAAAGGGCAGCTCAGGCATCGCGGCTCTCATTGTGTAGCTGCCGGCGTCGACGTGCAGATCCAAGAGCGTGAAAAGGCACTGGAATAGCTTGGCTGTGTTTGCCATCAGCGCTATTAGCTAGGCTGTGTTTGCCATCAGCGTTATTAGCTAGGCTGTGTTTGCCATCAGCGTTATTAGCTAGGCTGTGTTTGCCATCAGCGTTATTAGCTAATCTCGGCTCTAGTTTGGGTTAACAGAAAGCTTGCATTTGCTGACTTATGCATGTTTTATTTTGGGCTTTAATGTGTATAAATACTTTTTTTTTGTGTCAAGTATATGCTAACAGTTACGCCACAAAAGTTGTAGCTCCTGTTAACTACATCCTCCTAATTTGGGTCTGAATAACTCAGGGGGGTGTCCCTGCCCACCGATAAGTTATTGTGTCCTAGTACTGTCTGTGTGTATGATGAACAACTTTGCCGGGGGGAGAAAAAAAAAACTACAGATGCTCCCTGGGTTACGACGGTCCATGTTACGATATTTTGACTTTACGATGGATATTCCAGTTGCATTCTATTTTTCGCTTCAAGTGTATTATTCAATAAATTACATGAGATATTCAACACATTTTTTTTTTAACTATGCTTTGTGTTAATGATTTTGCCCAACTGCAGGCTAATGTAAGTGTTCTAAGCATGTTTAAGGTAGGCTAGGCTAGGCTATGACGTTTGTTAGGTTAGGTATACTGTATTAAAATGCATTTTCTCCTTACGATATTTTCACCTTACGATAAGTTTATCCGTAACGTAAAGCACCAAAAGGCCAGATCTTGTTTGTGTTGCGTTAGATGGGATTATGAAGCAGATTTTTGGGTGGGAGCCACAAGGACTATTGAAGCTAGTAGCAGTTGAGATTCATCTCAGTGTGAAGTGGTCCTGGGCCATCGTACCACCAGCAGATTGGGTGCATGTAGTCATTTGGGTCACTGATTGAACCAGGTTAAGAAGACCAAGGCGTACGTCTTGGGTGCTCACCCCAGTGGCGTCTCCACATCGCCGACTCATTCTTACCAAATTCGGCGTCTTCACTGCTACGCCGCTTCTGGAATAATGAGCTCAGTTTGCCGAGAGTTCCCCCATCTTTCCAACAGAAGGTTATTCAATAAACAGCCTACTGTAACTGAATTCGTTTCAATATTCTTGCTGCTTAAATTAAATAGAATTAAATTCATGATCAGGTTATTAGTTGTGTGTTTGTTGGTACGGTGAAGTATTTATACAACTTGTGGGCTTATTTTGAGTTAGGAAATGGTGCAGTAATACTGGCAGGTTGAGACTTAGTGGATTTGTAAATAAGACACTGGTGAGGAGATCTCGTGTGTGTCCTGGCATCAACACGACCTCTTCAAAAATGACAAAAAGGAGAGGATCACAGATGGACGGATGACCAAGTGGATGTGTTTTGCTTTTTTTGGTTTGGTTATGGTGAGCATTTACAGGCTGGTATGTCAGCTCGATGTTAAACACACAAACAGAGGCGTACTCACCAAAGTATGGGTTAATTAATGGCTTCCTGCTGGAAGGAGAGTATCACCCTACTTTGAAGTTGTCGAATAAGTGGAAGAAATGTTAGGATTTGAAATGCAGGAATTGCATTCAATTTGCATTCAAAAAAACTTTATAGACACAACCATGTTTCCTGAACATTTGCGTCAACATGTGTATCCAGGCTTCAGTTATCATCATTTTATTTCAAGGTACCTTGAAGGTAATTTTACTCCAAACCAGAGGCCAATAAATGAATTAGGTGCTAAAACTGAAGTTTGCATTTGGTATTTTATTGTAAGTTATAGAAATGGATCCAGATTTTTCAATATTAAAGTGCCAAATCCCAATTTATACATCTCAACCAAATTATTCTATTGATAATATGACATGCATATTTTGTTTTAGAAAGATGCTTCCAAAGACATTATGAAAGTGTGGGCTGCAATAGCTCGAAGGGAACTAAACAGAATTTTTTTTCAACGTCTGACCTGAGGAACTGATGTGTGGCAGGGCAGCCAACAAGATGTTCATTTCAACACAAGTCTGCACACACATGCACACGCATTTACATGTATGTAACAGTTGTATGACCTTGAAAATAGTGTGTGCGGTTTTGCAAACTACCCCAACGCTTTTCATGTAGCTAATTTTAGGTTTATAATAGAATAATATAGATTTGGCGTAAGATTTCTTGTGTGGGCGTGAGAATCTGTGCCACGCCGGATGCGTGAGATTTGGCAACCCTGTGTAGAGAGTGTAGCCTATCAGAAACCGCGCAGAGGCTGATTTATACTCCTTAATAGAATCTGCGCCATAGGAGCCACATACTCTACACTGTAGCCTGACTCCTGTAGCTACATTCCTGGGGAGATGTGCATCAGGCTACAGTGTATGCTACATGGCTATGCCCTACCAGCGGCATAGATTCTATTCAGGAGTATAAGTCAGCCTTAAGGGTGAAGCCTTTTTTTTGTTGTTGAGAAGAAATCCAGGAATTTTAGAATCGCGTCGGTATATAAACCATCTTTAAATGCCTTAATTGGATTACATTGTTCAACTACTGCAGATTATCCCTCAGGTAACAGTCTGCAGGCCCCGGCAAGGAACCCCAGCCAACTGTGCAATGTCAAGTGGAACTGAAAAAATATAATTCAGAATGTAATGGGCTAAAGACGTGTGGTGGGGGTGGGGGGGGGGGGGCTATTAAAAGGCCCTGCTTTTCACTTCCTGTGGTGCACGCAGGGTGAGCTTCATGTTGGGATAACCTTATGGTGACACTTTACTTAAAGCTGTCATCTATAATGCAGTATAGATACCTTCATAATGCATTATAATGGTTGGTATAAGAATTAATGAAACATTGCAGCATATTAATAAAGCATTACAGCATCTTCTATTGACAGTCGTAAGGCATTATAGTGTTGTTATAATACTTCATAAGCTCCAATGAAGCTTTCATCTATAATGCTCTATACTGTAGATGGGAGATTCATAAAGTATTCATAATGAATAAATGTTTATAATGCTTTATGAATACATTATAATGTGAATGTGTTTTTAGATTCTTATAGACATGGCATTCGTAGAAAGTGTTACCACCTTTATAAAAATCCTCTCAGAACTATGATTGTCTTTTGTAATTAATTATTCACAGAGTTCATCTCAGCCTGTGAAAAGCAGACAGTGTTTTCCTCTGTTGTGCACAAAGCAGGAAAACAGCACCCAAACGGGAACAATACTAATTGCAGTTACTGTAGAAACTGCTACATTATGGGGGAGAAAAACTCTACTGAAAATGGGCTCAATACAACTGAAAGTATAGCATTTAAGTTTCTATTTTTAGCAAGGTTTATTATTCTGTTCGCCAGATCTGTATATTTTATCAGTCATAACACATTTTGTTTATTGCTTTCCAGGCATTACTCAGACGATACCATTGACCATATTACGATTATCCACGGAATATTCACTTACAGATGTTTGATCTCCAAACAGATGTGTCTTCTTGGCACCAGGCTAACACATCTGAGCTGCACGCTTCCCTTCCGTTCCCAAACCGCCATGTCTTTCAACTCCCCCGTTACCGTGCCCCTTAACAGCCCTTTTGGCTTTCAGGACGAGACGGCAGACGATTCAGGAAGCGTGTCGCTGGCAGCAGCAGAGCCGACGATTGAGGGAGTCATGACTGTGCTCTGCTTTTGGAAAATCAGGAATGGGAGAGAAGAAGTCTCCCAAGCGTGCTTGCTGTTCGCCCTGACTTTACAGGGAACCATTCGTTCGATTTATATTAGGACTTTCTTAGCCAATGTCAGAGGCACAGGTGCTCAAGCGTTACTTTCGTTTAGATTTCTTTCGCTTAGATTTCTTTCGTTTAGATTTCTTTCGTTTAGATTTCTTTCGTTTAGATTTCTTTCGCTTAGATTTCTTTCATAATGTTTGCATTGATAAAAGACCAGCTCTCATATAAACAACACAGGATTGTTTCTGACAGAATGTTGCAACCAATATTTGGACTCGAATCTCTGATGTTTTGATACTTCAACAGCCAGCCCAGTCAAGCGACTAGTGCCAAGACTGCTAGTCGATCCGTGGTTTGGAGCCAATAGTGGAATTACTGGCGTTCCAAGAACTTCCCCAGGCGCTGGGGTTTTACCCTGGGCTGTAAAAGCAGCGTCAGTCCATAATGGTCTGGGCTGTTCCCTTGAAGCTGATCTAGTGACATAAATCCCACTGTGTGTGTTCTCAGAGCAGTGGTTGCCAAACCTGGTTTTGAAAGATTCCAACAGTTTTATGTGTTCCACTCTACCACCAGTATCTGATTAGACGAACGAGCTAAACGAGCTACTCGTCAGTCCTAGACATTATAGAATCAAATGGGCTGGATCTGAAATATGACAAATGTAAGGCAGAAGGTACAGAAAGAGAGGTTCCGAAAGAGCCACTGCGACACAGCAGGAGGCCTTCAACTGAGACAGAGCAACAGCAGGAAACAGACTGAATACTTCACAGTGTCTGTATAGTTTTGTATGTGAACATTGTTCAACGCCGTTGAGCGTTGTGAATGACTGTCACCTGTCAATCTGGAGTTCAATAAGTAAAATGTTTCATTTCAAGTCCTTCTGTGTTTAATTTGAGCAGAAACCACCCCGACCCTGTACTGAAGGAGTGGTATGGAAATGAATGGATGGATGGATGGATGGATGGATGAACACCAGTTGGTTCCATCATATGTATAGTCGAGCAGATGATTGAATATAACATACATGCAAACACACAAACTATCCCATATTCCGCCTGCACATGGACACATAGAGGTGGGAGATGTGTGAAACTCTTCTTCCTGTCCCCAGCAGTGCCCTATCAACACAGCCCCATGGGAAGTAGGCGTGGTTCCACGGTCATCCACTGCTTCCGCTGCCAGGAGGTCTGCAGGGGTGAGGTGGTCCGGGTCCAAAACACCCATTTCCACATCAAGTGTTTCACCTGCCACGGTAAGGTGCCATTAAGTGTGAAAATCAAGGTTGGAAACATTGTCAGCTGATAAACTGATTATATACACAAAATTCTCTGTCATCGAGCGGTCTTAATCCTATCAATGTGAAACAATCCTGTTTTTTTTTTCATTTCAGCTGTTGTTTCATTTCAGCTGCTGTTTCATTTCAGCAGCTAATGTTATTTAATTAGATAGATTAGATAGTACTTTATTAATCCCTCGGGAAGGTTCCTCCAGGAACCTTAGTATACTGTATAATATAGTATACTAGTATATAGTATATAGTATATAATATATATATATATATATAGTATAGTATAGTATATATAGTATATAGTATATACTATATTATATACTAGTGTATAGTATACTTAGTATACTGTATAAGGTGTATACACTGTATAGTGTAATGCTTATAGAACCGTAACTGGCAGATTGTTAGAAAGATGCATCACAAGCTAATTACTGCAAAATCGTAACAGGAAATTGAGCAGCGTGTGGATTCCGCTGCCTCAGAAATGTGGACTGTCAAGTTTGTTCTCCCACCCCGTTTCTGTTATTTAAAAAGCTGATGCACACATGGTTTTGGTGATTCTTAGGAGTGGTTGCTGTGGTAACGGTGTGAAGGGGCAGCCTCCCTGGGTGGGGTGTCGGCTATTCTCAGCAACACGCTCCGAGCGGCAGCCAATTGGAGCGCTTCTTGTAAGCTCTGAAGAGACTGAATAGAGGGCAGTGGAATCACTTTGTGTACTGTGGCATCCAGGAATCTTTTGGAGTCGAGTGAATTTGCCCAGCATCATTTCACCTCCTGCCATATATTTTCGTGAATTACACCACTTCTGCCCTTTATCACTTTAGCGTACATTATTACATGTTTTCATGTCTTAAATTCACCACGCCTGTATGACTGGATCATTTGAGGCTTGCATTACTACACTCTATTTCAGTTCACTTAGGTTAGACTCGCGGGAGTTTTACTTACGCAAAAATGTTCTGAGGGCAGAAGGAGAAATGAATGGCTTAGAGAGTTAACCAATCAGATTGTAGAGGAGGCGGGCCCAAGCAACAAGAGGAGACAAGACCAGGACATCTGATCTAAAATACCATATTGCATTTTATTTTTCAATAGGAGGCAATCTCATAATATACAGGACAGGAGGCAACTCTACCCCCAGTATTCCGCCCCCTAACCAGGGGACGGGGGTACCCAATGATTTAAAGGTTTAAAAAATTGTTGGGGGGGGTCCAGATACAAAAACATGGGCCAAATTGCGTCCCATGCTGATTTAAAATGGAGCACGGTATTTTATTTAATGTGGGACGATCCTTTGAAGTACAGGACGAGTGGCAACTCTATGTTTAAATTTAATTAAACAAATTTAGTTGAGGCTCTTTTTAGCAGAACCCTCCCCCCCCCCCCCCCCGGTCTCCGTGTGACCCTATACCCCAGCATGAAGGGCTGCTTTACTACAGCAAAACCCCTGAAGGCACCTAACCTTGGCTAATTCAGGTGTCAGGGTTCAAGGTTAAACACTGGAATCAGATCAAATGGATTCTCAGTGTCGGTCCTGCTCTTTCAGATGGGCTTCATGTGCCCCAGTACCTGCGTGTGGATGCTGGGCCATATGGCGTGTGATTCTGCCTGAAAAGCATCGTGGATAGAGGTCCGAGTAAAGAGTCACACCTTTTTATGCCGATAACACTGGCTAGCGAATCACAGGCTTAGGCTAACGTCCAGAACGAACGCAAAAGCAATTTAATTGTGAAGCATTCTGCGTCTTTGTGCTCAGATACACATCCTGAATGGACGGAAAGACACAAATCCAATAATCAGCATGATAAACTGAAATCGGCTCATCTACTTAGATGTAGCTTTCAGAAAGGCGGCCGCTCTCTGCATTACGCTTTCGCTCTGCAGGGGGGCTTTGAGATTACATTTTTACAATGGCTTTCTTTCATATTTGAACATGCCATCATCACGCCATTTGAACAATAAACATCCACTGATCTATTCCTGCTAATCCAAACAAGGTCAGTGCAATCCAGCCCCAGTGGCAGGATGCATTTGGTATATGCATCAGAGTACAGTGGGCATACAGTGGGCATACAGTGGGCAGAATGTTGGTCTCTGGGTATTAACGCAGGGATTCGAAATTTCCAGAATTTTTTACTCGTTGATTTGCCTGGAAGGCTTGATTTTGGATAGTCGACAGAAATGGCATCACCCAGAGGACCTTCTTGCGAGTACAAAGAGGGTGTACGAAGTCTCCACACAGATTTTTGTGGGGGTGTATAGCAACAGTGATGCATTCGGAGATTTTTTTTTTGGAATCCTGTCCCGCCTGCCCGTAAACATGTATCACAAAAATATCTACACAGAACCACTGCTGTAAGACCACACTAGCAAAAACTCCACCCACGCCATTTTGTAACGATAACTGAGTAAAAATGGTAGCTCGGATGCATGTTATTGCTCAGACATGCTAAGACCAGGCCAGTTGCCTTCTGATTATGTCCTGCAACCAAACACACAAGCAGCTCAATCCTGACATAGACAACAAGATGGTGAAATAAAGGGAAGTGTAATATTTTTATGCTTCTAATAGTTTTATTTTATAATTGTTCCAGATAGCCACAAAAACAAAAAGAACAGCCATGTTAAATGGTAAACACAGAGAATTATTTATATTACATATAACAGTACATTTGTTTTTAAATTTGCTGTAAGCTGGGTATCAAAATAGAACATTTTCTAATTATGTTCTTCCATTCCAGAAATAATAATGTTTAGGACATGCAACAGATAGCCAATAAAACACACTTACACAGTGCTAAAAAGAAGCCAAATTTATATTGCTGAAGACTCACATAACATCTAGTAATTTCTACAATGAATTCCATGATAGTGTTACACCACATCCAGACCCCATGGGTAATATCCAGGCAAGTAAAATTTTATTTGTTGTCTGTCTTATGCACTTCTGGCTAAATGTCTTTCTCTTTTATTAATACATTATTGCTTTTGAGGGTTAAGAATTAAGCTCTAAGATTGTTGTTGTTGTTTCTAACTGCCTGGTGCGTTGTGGATGGAAAGTACATTATATAACTAAGTCATGCAAAGATTCCAGCATGTACTGAGCAGGCCACAGTCCATTAGTAGTTAAAATCGAACAGTGCCACTATGTATTCCAAAGGGCATGACTATGAATTGGAAAAGTCCATGCAATTGAATGATGGAATGGTGAGGGGAAAATGAAGGGAAGGTTTGTCGTATTCTGATCTGATCTGGCTTCAGCTATGGAACCCAAATCTCCTCTTCTTTCTATACATGGACATTTTTAACCTTGCAGCTATTTTAAATGTATTTATTCTGAATAGTTTATGAAAATATCAAGCTAAATATAGATAAAATAGTGCTTGTGTGTCACTGCAAAGAGTTTTTATTCTTTAGCCCTTTGTTTTAACACTATAACCACCAGAGTTTTGTTGACCTCCTTTAGCTACCAGTAGCGAGGTATTTTGGCGTATCACACCTTTCGTTTTTGTTAATGGGCCATTGCGTTAGCATACTGCTCACTCATCAAGAAAACAACGGCACAGTCAGTAATCCACACAGTGGCGGAGTTGATTTCACAGAAAAGACATAAAACTCATAATGCAGTGGTGTTTATGTCATATGTTTTTGTGCTCATTGGTTACGATAATATTGTGAAATTAATCTTAATTCCACACCGGTAATAAAATAGTAAAAGTGTTAATTGTGAAATCTGTGTGCCTTCACTTAAGATAGTAGCTGGTTTGTCATTTGCGAGATCTGTCACGTTCTCATTACTTTCAAAGATACAAAAGCAGATTTAAAAATCTTCACTGTAATAAATTCCTCCCTGTCCGTTCTTGTACTTTTCACATCGACAATAGCTAAACGTGGTGGAATAACATGCTGCCTTTTGTCAGTGCTTTCTTCGGTTTCAGGAGAACATTTTCCCAGTTTATATTGATTTCAAAAGTTCACACAAATGTCCTTGGAATGCCTCCAACCACATGAAATGGTATTCCAGGGAGAGAAGGGGAGTGGAAGCCCAATCATTGTATCTCATATGGCCAGTAATGCATTCACTTTACCCTTCAGCAGTTTTTAACGTTAACACAATGGGTGTAAATGAAGCAAGAGCGAAGTGTTGTTTTGGTGGGGGGTGAGGGGGTGACTGGCAAGGCAGGGTGGAAGTAATCAGCCCAACAGTGGAAGGGCGATGAATATGTGTGAGGTCCCAGCCAGCCTTTTATATTGCAGGCATCTCCTTTGCCTCCAGATGCACTTTCATTCAACTCTAAATCAAACATTAGTCAGTTCCCTTTCCCTCCTTCCACTCGGAAATTATTTTCAGTTGAGGTATCCATCACTTAAGACTTGGCGCCGCTTTCACTCTGCCAGACTGCAGCGCACACTTTCCCATGCACCGTGATATCTGATGAGCAGAGCTGAGAATGTAACGCAATGGCGTTAACAGCCTCAGGTTGGCTGGTCCAAATGCATAATTGGACAGTTCAGGTCCAGAGAGTAAAAGTACACACCAAGATTTTTTTTTTGTAAACAAAATCTTGATCCGGACTTTTATCTCTGGACCTGAACTACTCACCTCTGGTCAGTCGTTTTGAATGAATGTGGGGAAAATATTTTCTCCTTTACCTGGGAAAGGCATCGATGTCTTAGGGGAGGGGTTAAGTCATAATCCCACCCCCCCATATGTACCTCTAAGCAATCATTAAAGGTTTAAAGTAGGTTTGTGGTGAGGGGATAATGTGACAAGTGACCCACCTCCCATAGATTTCCAGGGTCCAGCTCTGCCCACAGTCAGGTCCACTCCGTTCGACTCTTGCTCCGCCTCCCCATCCGGACCCCGCCCACATCTCGCAGCAAGACCGTCAAGGCGTTCTGGGCATTTCTCCGATTGCCTGTCTGCTTCTTCCTGTGGTTGCCAGTAGAAATACCTTCGACAT